TCCTTCGGGAGGGGGGCTGTAACAGGGGGTTCCCAGGAAAAGGGGAGGTTCGAGGTTCCCTGTCCCACCAGAGGAGGGTGGAGCTAAACAGGTAGCAGAATCTGGAGAGGAGACTCAGAGGTAAGAAGCAGAATGGGAGCCAGAGGAGGCCGGAGGAGGCACAGGATGCAGAGACATGAAGAAGCGGCTCTTGTTTCCTGGCCCTGGACTGGGTGAAACAGACCTGGGGGAGACCGTGGGGAGGCCGCTATAGTAGCGTTTATCTTGGTTTTGATGTTGCTCTTTTCCTCCCAGACTTGTCTGCCCATTTCTGACCCTTCTCTATGGGTCCCGTTGAAAGGTGCTTTGGACTTGTGGCAGCTTTCAGGCCTTGCTTTGAGCCATCCCTTTTGGGTGGTCTTTTATCCATGAGGGGAAGGGTAACTAACTGGGTATTTGATTTAGAAACTACATTCTTTGTTTTCGCTGTATTGCACACCAATTGTATTAAAGTTCCTTTCCATTCAAGATCACGTAATGTTTTGTTTTGATTCGGTAGATGGCAGAACCTATCTAGATTAGGCAGGTTTGGGAGTTCAGGGGTGCTCCTCTTAACAGTATTACTACTCAAGAAACAATCTTTTGGGATAATGGATGAAAGGAATTTTAAATAATAATGATAATAAAAAACACACCTATCTTAAAACAATGCTCCAACTAGCCGAAAGAACAAAGAAAAATTCCAGTTTTTCACAGCTAAGGAATTGAGGTATTGCTAGTTTACTGGACAACAGGCTTGAAAATTTCTCTGGGGCTTGTTCCAAGATTTAAGTATGTTTTTCCAATCCAAGGTTCTTCATTGTATCTAAGCAGCATGTAAAGAGTTCCAACCCATGTTCCTCATTCCACTAGCAGAGAAATGGGAAATACCAACCCACCCCCAGAAGACATCCCCTCGTCTGCACACACAGGTCTCATCTCTTATCCTCCACCAGATGTCTGGTAGCAACAACACACATCCTTCTAAGTCCCTGGACCTCACCTGTCAGGTCACAGTGTCATGCATTATACCCAGTGCTTGAGCTACAAATGATACTTTAGGCCTATATATATAGTCTTTAGGACTATACTGTAGGAATATTTATATATGTATATCGTATATAGTATATATATATATCGTATATAGTATGTATACTATGTACGATATATATATATATTCCTATAGTGTGTATATATATATATGTGTGTGTGTATATATATATATATTCATTCCTAAAGTATAGTCCTAAAGACTATATATATATATGTATATAATATATATATGTATGCATGTGTGTATGTATGTATATATGGCTAAGAAGAATCCTTCTTGTACTTAGTAATGCCCCAAATTTTGTACTTCAGATTTCTCATTGTCCAGGATACATCACATTTAGAAGTTCTTGACTTTGCCTACAAACATGCTCAGCACGGGTTTGGCACCTGCTTCTGTGGCCTGCTTCTGTGCACCCCAAGGCCGAGCAGAGAGCATTCCCCTCTTCCTCGGCAGGACGAAAAGACGAGGCCACACCAACGAGTTGCCTTTACAGGGTTGTATGTTCTGGCTCCTGTGATGTACACAGTGAATTTATGGAAATCGGTGAAGACAATTATCTTCAAGCCAAACATTTGACCTTGATCAACCTCAAATCTCACAATACAGACCTGTTTAAATATTTTTTAATACGAGTCCTATAACTTGTAATGATGTGAACTACTAGTTATAGCAGCCTTAATTATATTTAGCATGTTGTAACTCGTTTCTGGACCCTTCAGATGTTCTTTTGGCTTTCCTAGCTCATGAGGCACAAAGGGAAGAACATGAGTAAGACCATCCTTGACCCACACAGGGGACCACTACGGAGGCTAGGCAGCTTCACCCAGGGTCCCCAAGTGAACCCGAGTCAGTTCTTGCTGCTGTGCTTATTTCATGAGGTTCAATCCAGTAACTTTTTATTTATGAATGCAGTGTTCAACAAACACTAGTGCTCTGGAAGAGGGAGACATATTTCTGTTTATCATAATACCGCCATAAATTGATTTCCCTGTCTTTCATTTTTTTTTTCCACCTGGATATATCAGTCACCAACGTCCATCCCACGAAAGGAGGGCGACGCTGGACAATGAACTTGCAGGTCAACCTGCCTAACTTACTGAACTCACGATTCTTAAGGACAGGAGAATAGGAGCACACTAGTAAGAATATCAGGATGGAATCCTTTCAGATAGACAGTGTTCAGTGAACACTCAAAATGCATAGCCTATTTTACTATCAAAGTGCCTATGGTTTTATGAAACCACGAACAGTTTATGAAGACAGTAAATGACTAATGAAGAATATTTCTTGCTTTCTACCGGGAACTTTTGTGTTTGCTTCTAACTGTTTAATTTCTCCTGTCTCCCTTTCAATTAACCTCTCTGTTTGTATTCAATGAGATGGCACATAATATGGAGAAAGAAAAAAATCTTGCTGATTTATGAATATTCCTTTGAAAAGAGGCCGCTTCTTTCAGCCAGATGCGTAAGTGTTGAAAATGAGAGGAAATGGACAGAACAGTAACTACCCCGATGGGAAAACAAACTGTTGTTTCTGGGTTGCATAATCAGTTGCCTTCAAAGGCCTCTTTTAAAATGGCCCCTCCAGCTTCAGTGTGGGCAATGCACAGGACCCTTAGTAGCCTTGGGAACCCACTGGGCGCTGGAAGGCCAGGGGCCCACTTGTTCTCATAGTGTACGAAAAACCATGACTTAAAAGCTCTCTACATCTTTAAACAAGTTTCCCTGGGGGATTTATTTTTAAATGAATCACGTCCTTTATTCCTATATTGTTATTCAAGTAGAGTATAAAAGCAACAAAATGAAATGAAACAATAAGCCAACGAGCTTATTAATAACCCCGGGAAGATATGTCAAATTATAATAAAAAGACTTGCTGTTAGCAAAAAGCCTGGTCTCAGACAACGGCTAAAGTTGTGCAAGAACAGCTCCTCGAAGAGAAACTAACATGGGCTGCTCCCGAGGGGAATGCTCCACCTCGGACTGTGGGCTGGCAAGTTAAACCCGCACCTGCAGGGTCCTACACTTCCGGTTTCCTACACTTCGGTTTTCCTACACTTCCGGTTTCCTACACTTTGGTTTTCCTACACTTCCGGTTTCCTACACTTCCGGTTATTCCCCGACAATAAACCCTGACTTGGCCTGGACAGTGCCGCTATAAGCACAATGGAGAAGGACCCGGGGGACTTCTCCCTGCCTCTGGTCTCTGGGCGCCCTGGGACATGGGGCACAAAGCTGTTTGACCACCAGGGTGATGCGCTGGCTTCCGCACACCCACACAGGGGGTTGGCTTTTTTCTCGTAAAGGGGTGCCCAGGAAGCCCATCTTAGAGCACAGAGGAGGAGGAAGCCGTCTCGGGATCCGGGTCTTGGGCACCCTGTCAGAGTCCGACCTGTGCATCTGCCCGATCCACAGGAAGCAGACATCTCCCTAACCGTAGGCAAGCTCATCGCCAACAGTGAGCCCCAAAGGTGGCTCCCAGGTAAAAGGTGACATAACAGCCCCATTACTTAGGCACCTGCAGGACTGGCCGCTGGCAGCCACCTAGAAGCGGCTGGATTTGCCCATCAGGCACAGAGGCACCTGCTTTACTTCTGAGGAAGTGGGATGGGCTTGTGGCTGAAGAGAAACCTTTTTAAAGGCTGAGTGCCAAGCAGGGTGATGGGGCAGATCAGTGCACAGGTGGCAATACTTGAGCTGCAGGGGTTAGGAGCCAGGGTCTCAGGCTCCAGGGTGGGAGGGGAGCAGAGGAAGCCTGTGCACGGTTTCTCAAGACATCAGGAAAGGCTTTTCCCAGAGCTTTCTGACCACTGCCATAGGCATGAGGTCGCCGCCTCTGAGTTCTATGAGTCTCTCTAGTGGGGTCACAAACATGGAGTGGTAGAACCCTGAAAGCAGATTTCAGGGGCGTCAATAAGAAAAAAGTCCTTGTTTGAAGATTTGTATGGACACAACTGTGATAATTTATAAGATACATATGACTTCAATTTCTTATGAAAAAAAATTCTGGCTAACAGATCCCTGTAAGAGTGAAGTGCTTGATACAGAAGCATTGGACGAAAAAAGTCTTTTAAGATATTAAGACTCCCTCCAACAGCTTTATCACTTTTAAAAAACTCTACATATAAAGTAATGTGGCAAAATACCGTATCTAGAATTCAGAAACTTCTGAGGGCTGTGTCATTTACACCGCACTTTCACTAAAGGGAAGCTGACATTTCTCTCTTACTTTCGATGTATTTTCTCCAATTGTTTAAGCTCAGCGATTCACATAAAAGCAAAGGCATGGAATTCCTTGAAAATGTGATAGACTATATGTTCTCAATTCTTTGTTTATCCATGCTAAATATATTGCCTCTATTATCTAACCTCATCCTTTTTTGATTGTATGATTTAACCTACTACAGAGGCTCATGAATGTCACCGTATTTTAAACAGTGTAAAGCATGTAAATTTAAGATCTAAATTTGTGCGTTTTCCTCTAATTTCTTGTGATCTTACAAGATAAAGTCATAAAAATAATACCTTCTCTTTAGAGACTGACACATATCCACAAGAGCTAAGAGATGTGATTCTGGAATGTAAAAGGTCACATATTTGGATGCTTTAAAACCAAACTAGATCGCGATTAAGATTTGCCATGGCAATTCAGAACACTATAAAGTGACATTCAAAGCAGGTGTACCGGTCAATAAGAAATGACGTCAGGTCTACGTGGGTCCGTTTTGGCCACCGTAAGAAACAATGGATAAAAAATGGTTTGTCCTCGTGACAAGGGTATAAAAGGAACTGAATTGCCATTGGAAAGTGATAACCTCATGTAAAAGAGCAATTGCATCTTACGAAAAAATTCATTCGCGAAACCGGCTTTTGCAAGCTAGAAAACAGCACAGCGCGCGCTCTGACAGGGCGCGGCGCGCGCCTACCGATCGTGCAGTGTTCTCCGTTCCAGCCCTGGCTGCATTCGCACTTGCCATCCCTGCAGGTGCCGTGTTCAGCGCAGCGCGGGTGACAGGCCCTCTGGTTGCAAGCTGCGCCCGTCCAGCCTTCCTCACAGCGACACGTGCCCCCCATGCAAACGCCGTGTGAGCCGCAGTCCACCGAACAGATTTCTGCAGCGGGAAGAGAACAGCAGAGCAGGAGAGGGGAGGAGCGGCGTGAGAATGGGGATGAACGAGCAGCGAGCCGCCACTTTAAACCTGAATTGCTAAGTTGAACATAAATTAAAACCAGCCACCCATTAAGTCCTTGTCCCCATCCACTGCCGAGAGTGCGAAATGCTAGAAATGACTGTTTTCTTCATCGTTTGGTTTTTGGGGACTTTTTAATGGAAGCTCACTGGGTAAGTTTCAGGTGTTCACTGTTGCATCGTTTCCTGTTAGGCGCTGCTGTAAGTGTGCCTATCGTCCACCTGACATTGCTAGGTAAAGTTCAACATTATGTCTGTTTGCACATGTGTGTGTTATAGATCACATGGCCACACACACAGGGTACTAGCAAAGTGGAACAGCTGATTCATAACAGGAGGGAATGTGTACACCGGTGCCTGTGACCTGCGAGCAGCTCCTGGCGGCCGAGAACACTAGCACACCCACGCAGGCATTACCTTAGCATGGAATCAGTGAAACATTCCGGTGTCGAAGGGTGTCAGCCACCTACAAGGAGCTGGGCTTTCTGTAACTATATAGCAAGACTTGAAAAGGGCAATTTTGCATCCTCTGTTTCAATGTCTAAAATATTCAGAAGCTTTCACTAAGACAGAATCCATCACTGCCTCACACTGGCGTGTCTGCCACAGTAGGGCTGGCCACATAGACTCACGGACTGCTGCTTTGCTCTTCAGTAAACTCGCACTGTTGACAGGTGCAAGTTGCCCAGAACCACAGAAAGCCAGTTTAACAATATGTCTAACTACGGAGAGGCCGCCCCATGAGAAATAAGGCTTTTCACTAACCTACAGGAAGGGGCACAAGTGTGTGTGTGTGGTGGGGGTTTGGGGGGCTGCAGAATTTTAATAGTTTGGGCTTTAAAAGGAATCCAGGTGACAGAAGTGCTTTTTTTCTTAGACTCTCAAGATCTTTATTTAAGTAGGGTCGAGAGAGACAGAGAGAACTTGGGAGGACACTTTTTCACATGAAGTTAAGTGCCAGGAGCTATCTCCTTTTGCTCAGATTGCACCCCATTTCAGTGTCCTTGCAGAAGTAAAAACGCTGTGTTTCCTTCTAGCCAGCAGAAAGTGGACGATGGCCACATTTTTGAATTAAAAGCAGTAACTTTCTGAGGCTGTGTGTCCCCCCGCTTTCCGCCTTCCCCGCCCAAAGAGCAGTTCCCAGATGCCACCTCCTCTGGCCGGGTGTTGGTGCCGGACAGGCCTGCGGGCCTCGTTTTGCTTGAGAAGCGACCGGGCCTGTTAACTGGAGGCGGTGCACTGTATTTTTCCACGTCACACTTTCTATCTCTTTTGATTAAATTTTTGATTAAGAGATCCAAGATGGTTTGATTAACTTGAGAGCAAGAGAACATCAACTCAGCTCCAGAAGAAAGAGGTTTCTTCGAGGTCCCCTTTTATTCAATCTAATCAATTTTTCATTAGGGTGAAGGTGTTTATCAGCGTTTAGCACACTAGCTTTGAGCAAGGTGCGTCCATCTCTGTAATGAACTTATTAATTAGAGTTAATGTAATTGAAGTGGAATTGAAGGGCTAATTAATGGACGAACTGCTGATGAAGATAGAGGCTCTGTGGCTTTTCACATCCATAAACTTTCTGATGGAAATAATTCATTTCTTCTCCTTTAGCAGCTTGACCAAATGTTTTCTTAGGTGTACCATCTACTTATTGAACTGAGATCTCTGAAGGTCATTTCCACAAGAACAGAAAAGGTAGCTGGTAAACTGTTTTTGCTTTAGGATTCAATTAGTTAGAAATTTAGAATTATACCTTGTACTCTTTTTTTTTTTTAAGACCTGGGGTGCAGGCCAGAGGTGTGGGGTGGAGGGAGGTGAGAGGATTCACCAGAGACAGAGAGGGGAGCAGAACAGGCAGATCTACTGAAACGCAGTGCTGAGGGGAGAAGTGGGGAGACAGGAGAGGTCTGCTGTGCCACACAGGTCAGCTCCCTGGCTGGGGATCGAACTCATGCTGCAGTGGCTGTGGACAGCTTCATGGTGCTGCGATTTAACCTGTTGTGCCACCAGGGAGGTACACCTGGTACATTTTAAGCCTTCCATGTACATGAGCAAAAATGAAGACCGATGTTTTATAAACTCTCAGGGGAACTACACAATATGCAGGTGAATGTGAGGCATGTGGACCCTGGCATCTTCACAGCAGGAACATATGTATGCTGAGATCTTCAACAATAATTGTAAGTTTTCATTTTGCAGCTAAAAGTTTAGAAAAGAGTCTTCTCTGCTTAATTACTTTCTTGCAAAGACTGCTGTATTATTCAGTTGTAACTCTGTCTGTTCAGAGTTTAATACATGTGAAGGGTACCAGGGATCTAAAAATGAATAAAGTGAAGACCTTGGCTACTGTGTCTAACCGGGCACTTTAGAAAATGGGAAATAGTGAAATACAGAGGCACAAAAAAAACCTGTTTAAGCGCGTACAGCAGTGGCATGGCATCGTGACAACACGCTCTTCTGATACATGCATGTTACAGTCTTTTAATATATGCCATTCATAACAGGTATCATTGTAGAGAGCCCAGTTTATCTTTGTAGCTATTTAATATTAATTACAGACTAGCTGTTATAATTCAGGTGATGTGTTAAATAAATTTTATATGAAAAAAAAGGGGTCTATTTTCCTATTCTTTTCCTTCTTAGATAACTGTGTGGAAACAAGTAGGGTGAAATATTCCAGATATGTGTAGTCTACAGTTAATATTATCATGGTTTCTTACAGATAAAGGCATAAGAAATCTGATTAGGTAGATTTACTATACATATGAAGACATCTATAAACTTCAACTGGATTTTTGTATGGGGTGCTTCTTTTACTATAGAAGCTGGAAATATAAATAAAAACTCAACAGAATAACTAAATCCTTATTTTTGATTCTTACAATTAAAGACAGAGGGCAAAGCCAGTTAATATGCTATTTAAAATGCCCCACACCTATTTTTGATAAATATTGGTGGATAGTGATTTCCAAAACACTCTTCAGTGAGATATCAACACCGTCTGTGATCCAGTCCCCAATTTATGTTTTGACTTTATATACTTTAGACCTTTATTTACTTAAGCGGTCAAGATTTTTCAAACCAAAGTTCCCGGTTGTCCAAGTTCTCTGGCTCAGTAACATGATCTTGGCATCTCATATTGTCCTTTCCATTTCCCCTAACTCCACATAATAACAATAATATGTCTAGTAATATTTTCATATTTCTAATAATACTCCACTTCCCTAATAATATCCACCATCACCTCCTTCCCCCTTTTTCTTCTCCTTCTTCCTTTTTCGTTTGACTTCTTTTTGTCTTTTTCTTTTTTTTACTTTTGCTTCGGTAGTCCAAGTCTACACACAGAATCCATCATCTCCGTTTCTCTCTGGTGCCTCGGCTGTCCTGCCTCACTCGGAGACAGAGCCTGACACCGTCCCCCAGACTCCGCTGCTGCTCCCCACGCTGATGTCCGCAAGCGCTGTCTGTCCAGCTGTTAGCACACGTCTCTGACCGTCCTTTTCATCTCTACTAACTCCAATGGGTTCAGGTCCTCCTCACTTCGTCCCGCTGGGGAAGCTCTTGGATTTGTCTTGTAGTCATCAAAGCCTCGCTATTCACCCTCTGACACAAAATCTATGCGATTGTTCTGCTAAAACACTGTCTCATCACCTTAGCAGGAACCCAGCATCACTCTGAGGGAACTCTTCATTATCTACACGCAGGCCCACCCTAGTCTTTACCTCCAAATACTCTTCTTCTTCTTTTTTTTAAAGATGTATCCACAGAACTGGGGTACATGCCAGAGGAACAGGGGAGGTGAGAGGATTCACCAGAGCCAGAGCGGAGAGTAGAACAGGCAGATGGACGAAGTCCACTGCTGAGGGGAGCAGCGGGCGGTCAGGAGGCGTCTGCCGCGTCCTGTGGGTCACCTCTGGGGTGGGGATCGAACTTGCACTGAGGCGGCTGCGCCCAGCTTGCAGTGCTGTGTCCCATCTTGCTGTGCCACCCGGCAGGGCCCCAAATACTCTTCTTCACTGTCCTCTGCCTATAATGATAAGTCTCCCAGTTTTATCTTTGCTCTGAGGAGTAACAGAAGTCGGGCGGGTGGGACAGTGGTGTTTGATGACAGCTAAGCATTGTACAAAGTACTTGCTGTGTGTTAACTCAAATAATTTCCACAGCATCTCTGTGAAGCAACGTCTTATGATTTAAGACACAGAATGGGGTTTAACCCCACTTCAGAGATGAGTAAACAAGAGGAGTCAATGTAATTTTCCCAGCAAGGAGGAGAGAGCTTGGGAACAAACCCTAGCTTTCATTTTAGAGTTCACACTCTGAAGTATTCTCAAATACTAGACATTCTCCTACTCAAAAAATGTCCCCCGACCACTGGAATCTTTAAGGGAAGGCAAGCCAATGCTAATAAAATTCTCCTTAAAAACTTTCAATATTTATAGAGGCAGCACTACCCTTCTGAATGTATACTGAATTTGGCACAGACTCCATGCAAGACACAACAAAGTATTAGATGGGAATGTATTGGTTTCTGATTATTTAATGTGTGTTATCTCCCCAATGAAACTGTCATCTTTTAGATAGCACAGTGTCTTTTCAAACACTGTGACTAATAAGTGGGTCATGGAATTAATTCATGGGATACAACCAGCATTAAAAACAGTAGAATAACGAATCACTTTCAAAGCTTTTGTTGCAGTTAGGCAGGAATTTGCATAGATATAGATCGTTATGTAAAAATGTACGGATGACTGTCGGTCATTAGGTCATGGTCAAAAAAATCTCAAAGTCATTATTCCAGAGGGCAGGGCTGATGATTTATCTTTCATCCCTACCAGGTCGATCCCATTGCCCTGTATGGAGCAATGTTCAATATCTACTTGACTGGCTAAACGAAATGACCACCTGCCGTTTCTACTGTAATGACAAACTCAGTGTTGCACCATGACATAAACATCAGAGCACGAGATGTACAGTCCTTATTATGATCATGTTGAACCTGAAGCTGGCAAACAGGTTTTGAATTGAGGTTTCTCTGTAAGAGATAATGTGCTTAAATTCCCAAGCTGCTCACAGGCCCCAGTGTTAAAAAGACAGCGTTTTGCACAAATGAAAGCTTATTCTTTATATACCACAGAACTTATTTCAATGACAAATTGACTGAACCTGATTCTTTTCCATAAGATGACTGAATTTTATTCGTTTTACTACTACTTATTTCTAGAAATAATCCCCTCAACAAAATCTCTATTAAATGCACTGTGTTTAAAAATTAAATCACGTAATGTTCAGCTCAACCACATAAACAAGAATAGCAATCTCTCACGGTCCTCACCATTGGAGCAGTCTGGGCCAGTCCAGTTGGGGTCACAGGTGCAGGAGCCACTTTCCTGAAGATACGTGCCGTGGCCAGAGCACTGGTCGGGGCACATGGTCTTGAGTATTTCACAATTGTTGCCCCCCCATCCGGGGCTACAGTGACATTCCCCATGAATACACAGGCCATGATTCGAACATCCGGGATCTAGACAGTCCGCTAGGTAAAGAAGGGAAAGTCAGGCTAGCAGATGCTGTTCAGAGCACATGCAGAAGAAAGCATGCATCTAGGTTCCAGCAACATTTGGAGAATCACATTTATCATTTTCAAGAACTTGTATCTAAAAAGGCAAAGAATTATACAATCGAGCACAAAGAATCAGGCCATTAGGTCATGGAAGCTCTTGCAGGGATTTGTAACTTTCATGAATTACACACACAGGTGGTTGAGGATTCAGACAATTGCCCTCTGCTCTCTCTACTCGGACATTACTGAGTCCTGGCTTCTCTGTAACGAAATCTGCATTATCTGACCTAATCCATGGCCACTGAGGACTGACAGCTGTTTGAGAAATAAATGAGTTGCACACGCTCTATCCTTCTTAATTCACTTTAATGTGCTTTAGATGACGAGATTTAATTTAGCAATTTGACTCAATAAAACTTTACACTTGTAGGGTCAATGGCCTGAAAATTTAATTCCAGAGACTTAATTGCATGACTTTGTGTGTGCAGATCAATAAAATCAATTTGATTGAAGAACAGGAATGGTGCTTTTCTGCTTTTTGAAAAAAAACAGCTGCACCTGACCGGCTAGTATCTTGACCGAGATCATTACACAGTCACGGGACCAACTTGACGTCATACTTTTGTCACTAGTATAGTATGCTCAATGTTTGGTTTTCCAGAGATGCCAACATGCCAGATACAAAGGTGGGCATCAATATGAAAAACTGTAGGGAAAAAAAAAAAGGCAGAACAGTCTGCTGTGGTTCCTCCAAGACACAAATGCTTGTTTCCTTTCTCAACGTCAAAAAGAAATCATTCACACTCTAGGTGGCTGTTCCTTTATTAGCTAAAATGTTAACAGGACAATGCGTCCATCTCTAAGGAAATCACAGTGACTCTGGGAAAGAGCACATGAAAAGACTCATCTGCCGGAGTGAAGATTACAAATACAACCTGATTCTTGACGAAGCCAACAATAGACCTTGGTAAATGCTGACATGGTTACCTTCTTCACAGTTTTCTCCTTTGTATCCCGAGTTGCAAGCACAGGAGCCCATGATGCAGATCCCACGCCCCCCGCACTGGGGGTCGATGCACTGTGTGGTGGGCACGTCACACTCCGTGCCCTTCCAGCCGCTGAAACAGAGGCAGCGGCCCTTGGAGTACTGTCCATTGCCGCTGCACAGCACTGGGCAGGCTGCTGTGAAACAGAACACAACAGAGTGGTCACTGCCACGCTCACGCTCACCAATAGGGTGCCGATGAAAAGACACCTCCTGGGACAGGGAGGAGCACCCCTTCTGCCCCGACCCCTTTTCCTTGACTGTCCTGGTGGTTTTCTGAATTGCTTCTGTCTCTATGACTTATTTGTACTGGCTTAAGAATGCAGCTTGCCTACCTCTTGAACAATCCGGACCTAGAAATCCTGGAAAACAATGGCAAGTTCCAGAAACACACTCTCCATTTCCATGGCAATTTCGGGGGCACTCCACCACCGACTCTGCGGAAGAGAGAAAGAAGGGACCCCGGTGACCTCACCTTGCCTGTCCCACAAGGTGAACTGTGTGTCCTGGAGCATTTTAAGGGACATGATGAAGGAAGTGTGGACAGCTGGGTCCCAAGCCAGAAAACAAAAGTGAAAAAAGGAGAAAGAATTCATTGCTACTGGTGATCCAGGCCACATAGCACAGCAAAGCAGCAGTTCCTGCCCAAGCTGCCAGTGCCTCCTGGCTTCTCACACGTTCTTAAAAAAAGAAAAAAAAAAAACTTAAAAAAAAAAACAAAACCAGTTTTCACATCCACCCTCCAGCTCGGGGACCACTTTAGCAACCACTCAAACTTGGTGGAGATCATTTAGTTTCTACTCAACACCGTGTCCGGCCTGTAGCCTGGAAACAGATCGCAGACTGTTCTTACCTATGACAATGGTATTAAAAGACACCTGTTCGGCATTTTTCCCATCATTATAAAAAGCCAGATGCCAGATGCCGGAGTCCAAGTACTGGATGAAGCCAGCCTCGTGCAGGCTGACGGACCTCGCCTGCCGGCCTGCTCTCTCGGCTTCCACCAGGTTCCGCTGCTCTCTCGCGATCAGCCTGCTGCCGTCCAGAAGCTCGACGAAGTCATACTGAGGACAAGGAAGAGTGTTTTGGGGTCAGAGCGATTGTGGGCTGGGGGTCCTCTTTTCTCTTCCCCTCAAACTCTTGAATTAAATCGCTGACCGATTGGACGGCAGTGCGTGATACACGTACAGTGATATGGGAAGTACCTATTGTGTGCCATTGCTATATTTCAATTCTACCACCGGTTTCTCCACTTAGTGGGCAGTATGGTGTGACCTTGATTTAACAACACTGGGTGAGCTTAAGTAGCTGGGATTTAGTCGTAAACTCTAACTTTCCAAAACAGTGGTCTTATGTTAGTTGGGTCAGTAGGTAGAATGAAAATTTCCTCCTATGTAATACTCATGTATTTTTCTTAATAACTAAAGATGGTGAAAATGACCCAACACTACCGCTGCTACATATTTATCTAAAGAATATGAAAACACTAATACGGAAAGATTTATGTAGCCCTCAGTGCGGAGTGGCATAATTCATAACACCCAGGACATGAAATCAACCTAAATGCCTATTGACGGATGATTGGATAAAGAAAGTGTGGCATTTATACTCAACAGAATACTACTCATTATTAAAAAAATAAAAAAAATTGTGCCTTTTGGGACTATATGGATGGATGCTTGGTGACGATGCAGGTGAAATAAGCCAGAAACTGAAAAGCACTTACCATTGCTTTGTGGAATGTAAATAACCAAAACAAATGATTGAGCAATAAAACACAAGAAAAACAGCTCCAAGAATCAGAGGAAAATATGGTGGTTGCCAAAGGGAAGCGGGAGGAACAGGCTGCAGGGGTCAATTGGTGGGGGGGGGGTACCACTGGAATTTGGTGGAGGAGTCGGTGTCGGGGACATAAGACATTGCGCCCCGAAACTTACACAATATTGTAAACAGACGGCAAATTAGAAAGGGAGGAAACTTTGAGTTTTAATTTGTCTTTCAAGCCTATACGCCTAACCAATACTCAGAGACCTCGCCAGTTGCCTCACACTCCACACAAGAAAATAAGGCTGGATGGGTATCTCACAGGATGGAGATGTGCCGTGCATGATGGTGCTGGCAGGGTACCTGGCACTGGAGCAGATATCTGCCCCGTGCTGAGCTGTTCTGAAGAAAGTCACACCCACCCAGGGGTCATTCGGCTACCTAGAGAAAATTTCTCTGCTTAGTGTTAAAACCGCCTCTTCGTGGAGAGGGAACACTTTCTACAGAATAAAGAGATTTGATAACCTTTACTTTGGGGATGTGAAGTACTGGGTAAGCTTTAGCTTTGCTTTGTAACACCTATGCATGGGTTGGAGATGTGGCCTTTGTGTGGGGGAGAATCTTAAAATCTGGTGTTATTTTTAGGTCAAAGTTCAGTTTCATCATTTCGCCAGAGCTAAAATTCTGCAGAATTTTATAATTCAAGAACAATCCCTTTAAGCTAAGCACAACCCTAGCACGCGACCTACAAAGTGAGGCTCTTAAAATATTGCAGGCAAACAACTGTCAGAAGAAGCAGATTACTCATATTGAACTGAGTGCAGTTATTAAAACAATGAGGACTCAAACTGTGGTGGCGACAGACCTGTGTTCCTAAATCGACCTTTGGTGCTTGGGTAGTTTTGCTGCAAATCGTTGCAAGAGAGAGGAGGAAGGATTTGTAGAGCTCATCTGATCCAACTCTTTCATCTTACAGATTGACACTGAAGTTCAGAGAAGTGTAGGGATCGGCTCAAGGTTACCAGGTCAAACAGTGATAGGGGTGCGCTTAGTACCCAGGTCTCAGACCCCATTCGAAAACAGGCGTCACACACAGGCACTTAAATGACACAGCACACTAATAAGTGTAAAGCGTTAAATTGCTTCCTTAGGCTTTTCGCTGTCCAGGAGAATGAATTGGGCAGCAGGGACAAGAAAGTCAACTGAAGCCTTGGCAACCATCAAATGGACAGTTTTATAAAGGGTCACAAAGACGTTCAAAACTCAAGTGACTATTCTGAATGGCTGGCCAGTTTTAATTATTTCAGGCTGATTTATTTAACATTCCCCAGAAACACAGAGGCGTTCAATTTGGGCTGCTTTCTAGCATATTTCATGTTTAAACACTGAACTCAGAAACAGTTGTTTGTTCTGTCGATCTTGAGTAAACCAGAGAAAGGAACTCTAATAACTGTGGAGCTTAACAAAAGGTATAACCTACTTAAACACGTATGTCGTTAGGAAAGAAAAGTGGGGGGTCATGTATCTTGTGTCTAAATACAAGAAGAAGCATGAGAAAATCTGAAATAGCACTTCTACTCCACTAACCTTCTATGGCACAGCCCTCGAAAGAGTCTATTTTATTTTTGCAACATTCTTCATTTTTGTACAATGTTTGCTTTTTCATCTTGGGTGCAACCCCTGTAGACTTCCCACCACCAGTTCACCCGTGTGCCATCACCATAGTCCCATGTGCTGGGAAGAGTTAACTTTAAATTTTTTTAAAAAATATTTATTTATTTATGCACACAGAACTGGGGTACAAGCCACAGGTGCAGGGGTGGTGAGAGGCTTCACCAGAGACAGAATGGGGAGCAGAACAGGCAGATCAACGAAGTCCACTGTGGAGGGGAGCAGCAGACGGTTAGGAGAGGTCTGCTCCACCCTGTGGGTCACCTCCCTGGCTGGGGATCGAACTTGTGAAGTGGCTGCTACTACATCATAGTGCTGTGCGTTTAACCCATTGCAACGCCAGGGAGGGCCCAAATTTCAGCTTTTTAAAGTGTACACCACACCAATTTTTTGCCTGCAATATTTTCTGAGGCTCAATTTGTAGGCTGCAGGCTAGGATTATGTTTAGCTCAAATGGATTGTTCTTGAATTAGAAAAAAAATTAATCATGTATATGGGGTACAGGGGAAAAAAACATGCTTTTCTATTTCACTGGACTATTGCTGAATGTAATTTAACTGCTGCCATTGAAGCGGCAGAGGCCTACTGTTATTTAAGAAAATCTGGTTATTAAAGCCCAGTCAGTCTCACCTATAAAATGAACTGGAATCAATTGTAGTTGTAATCTAAACTTTGAAATCGGACACTAGTACACAGTGTTTGATGGGCGGAGATGAAAGGCGTTTCTTTTAATAATGTAGTTATGAAAAATGTTAAATAAGAAAAATGAATATACTAACGCATGATACTTAAAAATTTCACAGCTATGTAATTTATGTACATGTGAAACTTTCCCTGACTCACAATGACACTGGAGGAAACATGTTTAAATTTTCTTATTCATCTTTAAAGAAGTGATTTTTTTTTATATCAGTATATGATCAATTTTTCTTCCCAGGAGAGTATTTCATTCAAAGTACATAATATAAAACACACATGTAAACTCTTCCAATCCTCATTCTAAGTATCACATTAAACTTAGCATAAAATTCCACAGGTAAATAAGCTGATTATCTAGTATTCTTATCTACTAACCTAGTAGTTGATCTTGGGAGAAGCCTCGCTTCAATTTCATGGTAAGTAATTTAAATACTTTCTTTCAGACTTTCTAGACTTTGTCCAAACCACAATTTCCCACTCACGTACCATGACCTGATAGGAGATTATGGAAAAGCAGCTCTCCAACTGCAGCTGTTATTTGAGGTGATTTTCATATCAGCAAATTGCCTTGAGAGTTTTTTGAATCTCTGATACAAGAATATTTGAGTTGTTTTGCAATCATCCACGGTTAGCTAAGAAAGGTGGTTTTCAGTATTCGTCATGAGGACTTGTGGCTTGGGAGCGGGAGAGCACCTATTACCATGTTTATTTTTATGTTCTCCCTTAAGTCCTTTACTCTGAGTAAATCTGGCAGAAAGAGTGAGTAGATGTTTGAGATGAATGTCTTCTTCTACTCCATGAAAGAGATGAAATCACACAGAATTTTCATAGACTGTGCAAGCGAACCACCTGGAAAATCCATGGTGTTGTACGTGGTGCTCAAATGATGTTCAATATTCATTAAATTACTCCCAAATTTTAGTACATTTTAATCAATCAATAATGATTAAAGCAAGCCAGGAAGAAAATGCTGTTCTTCCTACTAATCTAAAAACCTCAAGATAAATGTAATTTACACTTGAAATTCTTTTCACTGGAAAAGATCGATATAAAAGTGGTCCAACAGTGAAACAGCTGAACTTGAGAAACAGAAGAACTTTAAAAATGCAAACGAGCAGTTTTCATCTTATTGACAACAAAGCCTCCTTTTACCTGAGTATGGGAAGGTGGTAAGCCTTTTCGGCCGTATACTCCAATCAATGCATCCTTCTGAAGAGAGATATTGAATTTAAGAAACTGTGGCTGATCAATAAAGAGCTGTGATCTCCAGAAGATCCCGGGAGGAACCTCTTGAATTGCTCTTCGGCCAATATCAAGTTCTCCGGAATCTATGGTGTTATTTTCTTGTGTAAATCCACCTAATTTTCCTGAATGCAAGAGATCCACGAAGAACAAAACATTAAAAAAGGAAACCAAACCCAAACATTCTACCAAAGTTCTTGATGCTAGATGCTCAGACATTTCATCCTCTCTGATAAATACAATGCCTTCAAAATGTTCACTTGAAAAGCTTTTTGGGGAGATATGGCTGTTTAATGCCTTGTGATTTAGCATGTTTTTTAAGACAGTGAAGTCAAAATTGTTGACTTCCCCCAAGGTATGCCTATTACCGAAACTGCTGTCACATCCACAGTCTTTCTTGATCACTGGAAACATAATTATCTTACAAATTTTATGTTTTGTTACTTCTTGGAAGAGATTAAGTCTGGGACTTATCAGTCATTCTAAATACACCTGAACACTGCAAAGTGTAAATTAAGGCAGAATGAATTATGGCGATTTCCAAATCAATGCTTAAGCAAACACCGCCACCAATCAATGGGACTGATTCATGCAGTTCTGTTGAACTGTATTCGAGTGAATGAAAAGTCAGATTCTGAGACAGTGGGTATTTTACAAGGGGTGGGAGTCAGCTAAGGGTTAAGGCTCACAAAGTTTTGATGTGGGCGGCCATCTTGACCCCCTTTTCAAATTCATTTTCAGCCTCAGCAAACACTCTTGGGCTGCCCTCTCCATGACCTTCAACCTGTAGCAACAAAATGCTCTGCTCCTGGTGGTTGCCATGTCTTAGCATCATCTCCTCTCTGCCTGCATGACCTGGCTTTGGAAAACAGATCCAAGGCCCTGTCTCGTGTGGTGCTCTCCTCTCTCACACTTTGCTCACTGATTCTGAGGGGTCTAGTGAGAAAACAGGATTCACAATTTGCCTGAGCTGGACGTAAAGCACACTGTCTCTTCCACAGAAAGGAGCCAGGAGAGCTAAGGAACTGTATGAAACTGGGCAAATTATCCTCCACCAATGCATCCTCTGTCAATTATCTATCCTCGATCAATGCGATCTTAAAAGAAACCAAGTTGACTTTCTACTCAGTTTTAAAAATATCAACAGAGATGTTAATTGGGATATTATATAGTAGACATTATCTGATAGCCTCCAGGGAAGTTAATTCACAACTGAGAGGACTGAGAATCAAGACAGAGCTGGGAACGATCTTACTTCAATGACGGAGGAGTGAGTTTTTGCCTTCCCTCTAAGAGTTATTCACGTAACAATAAGCTCCTTTCTTGAGCATCTACTAGGGACGCAGAACTGGGGGTGATAAGGAGATACCATCAAGGAGCAGCGCCTAGTGGTGATATACTCTGGCTTCCGTGGCTTCTGCTACCAAGCGACTACTCACTCAGCTGGGAAGACAACACCAGCCCACCAATGAATTCAGAGACAACATAAAGCAAATGTAAATCAAAGAAAGAGATATGACTGGAAGCAGAAAGACTCACAGGACAGTTCATTTCTGAGGCAAATTTCAGCGACAGGCTGAGGTTCCTGAGTTGGGGTGACTAGTGTTTAAAGTCATGGCAGTGGAACTGGACTCATGTCAATGTAATGGTGAGAGAGATCCACCTCTTGGCAAGGAAAGAAGTTAAGAAAACTGGTTTTCGGGTAAGAAAGGCTTAGCTTAGACTTGCGGCTCTGACCCTAAGACTTCGGCACCGGTAAAATGGGAATGACTTAATAACGCAACCACAGTAGCACTCTCGGAGGATCCCTGAGTATTAACAGAGAGTACTAGGCTCTCTGGAGGAAAGGACGTCTTCCTGGGAGTCAAGGTGGACCAGCAAGGTCATCACTTGTGCTGGGCACTGAATGTCATGTCAAAGAATTTGGTCTTTATACTTCATGTTAGTGTCTTTTTTGCATTTTCAACGCTGTTATTCCACTCTTCTCCCTCAAGATACAGCTATCACAACATGATGTTACTAGGCATGTCATCGATGACATGGATTAAAAGTAGATACCTGACGGAGGCCAATTATGGGTAAGTTGTATTTAGTGGCACAAAGGCAGTTCTGGCACATGTGGAGGGATGTGTGTGTGCACACACAGAGAGAGAATTCAAGGTGACTGAGGAGGATGGGTGGTGATCACAGAGGAGGACAGCAGATACCCAGGAGAGGCCACAGGGCCCGGGGAATTCACAGCAAACTGACCATACAGAAGAGTGTGAAGCTTGAGGGGACAACTTCCTAGTGAGGCACATCACGTCAAAAGCACAGTTGAGCTAAACAGGAGCGTGAGAGGGCCTGATGTGGCTCAAGGTCAAACTCGAGGTGACTGCTTCCAGGAGTTAAAGTGTAGTACATGGAAGCCTGGCAGTAGAGAAGCGACCTGGCAGGTAACTGCCATCACCCGGGTCTGAGGCAGGACGGAGCAGTATAAAAAGGGTCATTTACCACCTCACGTCTCTTTTTTTAACTGATGTCCATAATCCTGACAGCGAACAACCCCTCAGCCATCAGCTACTTTTCTTGAACCAATTTAAGAATAAAAAATGCTCTAGGGAGTAAAAGTTCAAACCCGGGTAACAGTAATCATTATAATTTTTCATGTTTCAACTCCAAGATGATCAACTGTGCATCATTCACTGACATTTTAAATATTTGGTTTACAATAGATGCATTCATTTTAGCAAGACTAGAACACAAATAAAAAGACAAAAAGTGTTATCCTACTCTTCAGAGATTTTATTTTTGTTTCTTATCGATCCAGGCATCTTTCTTTATTCAGATAAATTTTCAAATTCCCAAGACCAAGTCCCACCTTTCATTTTGGAAGCTTCTGCGCAGGCACCTGTGTTTGTTATCAATTAGCTTTTCTTGCAAAGAGGAAGAACAGGGCAAAAGAAAAATGGGAGGTTGACGGAGAACCACGGCAAGTCTGGTAGTTTCACCTACATTACCTGTTTCCATCTCAGACAACTTCCTGAGGTCACTGTGATTTCAAGATGAATAAAGTAAGGGCCTGAGAGGTAAATTGTGTGCCCAATGTGAGTGACAGAGTCCAGATTCAAATCAAAGCTGTCTCATTCCAAAACCACACGGTTTACATGATCATCCGGATGTATAATCTTTGCTTTTTATTTAAAAAAAATGTACAAAAGTGAAGGATGATATGACAATATTTTAAAATGTTATTTTAAAATACTAAATTTTACCAAAAAAACCTCTTAATAAATTTGAGAACATAATGGTGGTTACTAGGGGGGAGGCAAGAGGGGACAGGGGGTGGTCAAGGGGGACGGAGGACGGACACTGAGTGAGGTCGGTGTAATGGTCACCACCCAGTATATAGGGGCTGAAGGATAAGACGGTGCCTAATGTTACAATGCACCGACATGACTTCAGCAATAGTTTTTAAAACAATTAAAAAATAAATTACGGTTTCATGGATGTCTATTTCATGTTAAATCAGATGTATTAACGTACAGAGCCACACTAGAGACCTGCTTAGCTTTTTATTTTACAACATAAAGCTACATGTATATTTATTGGGGCAGAATTACCAGTTTCTGTGCCATAAAAATCCTATAGATATTATGACATAACAGTCTTTGTGTTACAATGTATAATAAATTCCTAATAAGTGGTGCCCTTTGGCTGACTTCCTCCCACCCCATCAAACTACTGCTAAAATTTTGAGTAGAATCCTCTTCTCCACTGAGATATTAGCGCTTCCATCTTCCGTATTTAAACACGGCTCTGATTCCTACTGGAGCTCCTCTGTCCAGCTCATACTTTCCCAAGGCGATTATTATGTTTTGTTGTTGTGAGGATGTTGTGCTGCTATTACCTGACGGCTGTGTGACTTCGTTAGCTCCCTGGTGTTGTTGCTACCTACTGTCCTGTTTTTTTTTTTTTTTAAAGATTTATTTATTTGTGTATCCAGAACTGGGGTACAGGCCAGAGGCTTAGGGGCGGTGAGAGGCTTCACCAGAGACAGAGTGGGGAGCAGAACAGTCCGATGGACGAAGTACACTGCTGAGGGGAGCAGCGGGCGGGTCAGGAGGGGTCTGCCACGCCATGTGGTCACCTCCGGGGCAGGCAGGAATCGAACTCATGCGGAAGCAGCTTTAGATTCTCAGTGCTGTGCTTTAACCTGCTGCGCCACCAGGGAGGGCCCCTACTCTCCTGTTTTTTAGCAGCCTTAGGAGCAAACTGGTGCTTGCAGGGTGAAATGAGCCTAAAATGCTGCTAATCAGAGTTTTTCTTTTTGCCCAAGACCATTAGCTTTGGCAGTAGGAGCCAAGGTCTGACTTGGGGCTTCATGGTTGGTTTTCTCGCTACACTGACGTTGAGAGGCTGAAATATTTCTTGGTGAGATGGTCTATGTGCCACTGCTGTGTCAAAAATTGTGCCTAGTCGTGCAGCTCAGCCCACAGCTGGCAGAACAGGAGCTTGAAGGAGGCTGCAGCGGCTGTATGAGTCATTGCTCATTGCTCCCTGGAATGAAGAAAATCTGGCTAAGCCTAATGTCACAGAATCTGGGTTTCAAGTGCCCAAAGTCATCTAGCCCGGGGGTCTCGAAGAAGACAAGTCACACCCTTTGGGCACAGGGAGGTTTCTCCACGAGGAGGAAGGGGTGCTGTTTCACGGAAACTAGTTTCTAGAACGCCAGAGATTGCTATGTGTGGGCAAAGACAACAGACCTGAAGTGCCCTTCTCATATTCAGACTCTTCCTGTTGACAAAACGTCCAGGGTGCCACACAACGGCAAAGTGCCAAGCATTCTTGTTAAGGAAGCCTCTTGCTACTGTTTACCCAGAGTAGGAATTCAGGACTATGAAGGCTGTGACAAATTGCCTCTTAATTTATTTGAACTGAAAAAATAAGTGAGAGTCTTTTTGATAGAAAGTTTCATTTTTAAAAGGATCAGCTTTGCTACTAAGTGATAGAGTAGGCATTTCCCACAAATTAAATGAGCTAATTAAGTTAAGAGATATTTAAAGCCTATAATAACAGTAGCATTCAAAAAAGATTATAACAAAAGTGAATTAAGATGAACAATAATTCCATTTCCCACCCCATT